ATGACTGTCTGCACTGTAATATACTAACATGCTTTGGGCCTATCATTTCAATTATTTTCCTTGCTACAGGTGTTTCTGACTTGCCAAGGTCTTTTAACTTTAAATGTTAACCCCTAAATTGTTATTATGAATATTATATTTATTAATAAGAATACATACTGTATGTATATATGATTGATATATCACAATAAAGTGGTTGTAAAGCTTAATTTGTTTTTAAAATGACAAACATGTTATACTTACCTGCTCTTTGCACTGGTAGTGCACACAGTCTCCCCAAACCTCTTCTTCTGGGGTCTCCTGCCAGCACTCCAGTCTCCTTCTCTTCTCAGTGCACCACCTTAGGAAGTCACTTCCTATGGGGGCTCAACTGCAGACTCACTCCCAAGCCGGGTTGTGTGCATCTACAAACACACACAACGAGGCTTGGCCCAGCTCCCCAGTCACTTCTCACAGGATTTGTGGTGGGGGGAAGATATAAATACTGTACTGTGATCACTCTTCACTATCATCTGTAAAGTAAATTTGAACACAGTCTGGTATAAGAAAGAGTTAAACATTTAGAAACTGTCCTCCTGCTTTGTATGTGAATAAGTAGGTACAAAGACACTCAAGATGAGTTGAAGGAAACAGCATGGCGTAACATATGGCCTGCTTTAGCATCAGCCATGGCACTTTTTTCTTAGAAACATCTAAAAGTTAAGAAATAAAACTGTTTTGAGCTGATAACATCCTGTGCTCTTACTTATGTTGAATTGTATGATCCCCTTGGACCACAAAACCACACACCTCTATATCATGGATATCAGGAGAGGTACAGGGTTCCATAGTCCTATCTTGTTTTTGTTGTTCTAATGCAGAAGATTGAGGGTTGTCACCCTGGGAGTAAGAGTGCATTACTGCTAGGATCACCAGGTTATAACAAAGGGGAAAATTAGCTGAAACAAAGAAAACAAATGCAGCCACTATATCTAAGAATTGGTAGGTTGAAGCATATTACATTGTTGTTTTGAGGTTTAAATTCAATATAAGCATGCAGTCTGTGACTAGCATTAACTCAGCATTTTTGGTTTTCCCCTTGTAAGATACTTCAGCTTAGTGGTTTCTCCCACCAACCCCCACCTCACTGTTGGCAACATAGGGCCTGACCGGGGGGTCTGCTGAGCTTAGCAGTGAACACATTGATGATTGACATTGATTGATTGACATTTCCAAAAACTCAGATTTCCTAAGAGACTTCAGTCAATGATTCCTTTTCATCAACGTAGTGTTTGATGGAGTTGGCAGTGGAAGAGGTAAGAATTTATCTAGCTCTCTTGTTAGCAAAGATTTCTGATATATAATCCTATTTGTTGTGGTAAAGTCACTTTAACCATTTGCAGCACTACCCCCTTAGGAGTTGCTAAGATTTGGGTCCCCCTATAGTCCTGCACAGCCAGGAACTACACAATTCCTTCAAGCCTTGCACTCCAGAGACAGTTTCCAGTCCTTGATTTTTTGGATTTTATTAGAGAATTTGAACTTGGATGGGGACGGGGGACACATCGGATGCCCAAGGAACTGTTAAACTGAAGACAACTTCCTGGAACTATGTACAAATGTTCAGAAGAGTTTTTCTTCTTTGGAGAGCTATCCAGCCTCTCCTGATGTACCACCTCAGACCCCAGATGAAATATCCACTTCATTCATTGAGGGAAACCCTGGGCAAGGGACCCCAAAATCTGTCACTTTAAGATCAGCAGTCCCAGATGGGGGCTAGTCAGGTTTCCCACCCAAATACATTCTCCCCTTATCTGGCCCAGGAGGTGTGGAATTACTCACTCAGTCCTCTCCTGCAAGTTTGTGGGATGGTGGGTTCCTTCAGGCCTTATGCTGGGTTGGCTCTTTCCCTGCATCCCAGTCCTCACTCAGGGGATGGTTGAGGCTGACATATCCTTCCTTCCAGCTCCTCTGCCTGTAGGTAGGCTCCTTTCCTGGTCTCCCTCCCAGGCTCCACGCTACATCATGCTCACTCCATCTTCCACCCAAACTTTCCTACTACAGAGCAGGCTCAATCACTTTTAAGGGCTGTCCTGACTCCATGCCAAGCCTCCTGCTTTGAGATTGGTCAGGATCCCTTAAGAGTGAAGACCATCTCCTCCTCACCCCCACCTACTTTTATTAGTCTCTAAATCAGTGGGAGGTATCAGGGAACTTATCTGTAGAGCCTGTCAGCTCTAACCCAAATTTGACCCCTCTGACTATCTTTCCTGGCTGCTACTCAGCCTCCTACTAAAAAAATAATTACCTAGCTCCGCCTGGCTAACTAGGAGGGCGCTACACATTCCTTACACAATTAAAAACTAAAAAACATGGTGTTTGATATACTTTAAAACAGGGACTGTCTCTAATCTTTTATGAATTGTGATTCTTTTTGATCTCCCTATTATCAATATCTACTATAATCAGCAGGAGGAATATGCCATTTCTCAGTGCATAAGCATGAGAATCAAGTAGATCCTGGTAAGTAGTAGGATGATCAAGGCAGATTCACCTATTACACATATTTGGAGAAACTGGTCTGAAACATACAGCATTTCTGTTACCCATGGAAACCAACTACTGTATATAGTTAGGAAAATAATAGCCTAAAACAAGTTTGACTCCTCTTCTTGACACCTTTACTTTTTGAAGCTGTTAAAACTATTAAATTCTAGCATTCATTTTTCTTTTGTTGCCAACACCTCTGTTGTTTAGCAAGATTTCCATACAGTGTTTTAGTATTATAAAATAACACACAATTACCTAGACAGCCATACATTAAACATTTCTGTAATTAGTCCCTTAGAGACTCAAACAACAGAAAAAGTGATGTGAAGGATAGCTGCGTTCCTATTTATTGTGTAAAAAATGCACTGTAACCACAGCTAACAGGAGAAAAGATATGACTAGATTTATAGAACCCAGATGGAAAAAGCCATTTCCCTCTTATCTTTATTAATTGGCTGATTTGATTAAGAGAGAGCCCATGTTCTGTACGAAGTACCCCCTGCCTTGTTTTTTTTCTGTAATACTGACTTTGTGCTGTCATTATCTTCCCTGGTGACCCAGTGGTGGAAAGACCTTTTCCACTTTCTGTCCTCAGAGGTGAGGTTTCAATGTATGGGACCTTATTATTGGCCCTTTTGTGCCACCTCATCACAGTGAACTGCAGCAGAAGTTAAGAAGGATGTGACACGTGTTGACCTCTTTTTTTACACGTGTCCACAGAGCATCTCCTGTTTCCATGGACCATCTGAGGGAGATCCTGTCCACTTGTGTTGATGTCTGGTCAACTGGTTGAGGCTGTGTTTTTAGATTAGATGTGATTGGCGAGAGATTTTGAAGGCTCTGGGTCAGAGTAGGGCAATGATTAGTATGTCCGATGCTATATGACTCTACAACTTAAAATGGAGACATCTGTAACCCACACTAGCAGAACACTATCATAACTGGTGTCAGGGCTCCCGGGTATGACCAGAGGTGTGTGACTGACGCAGGGAAACGCAGACTTCAGATATATTATAAACAATGTAATTTATTAACACTAACAATACAAACATAAACGCAGTGCAATACTAAAACATAACACAGTGCAAACAAACCAACCAACCACCCACAGATAACAGTACATATAATGCAAGCGTCGTCAGGCAGCCTGGGTCAATATCAATCGGGCAGGTAGGTAAAGGGGGAGCAAGCGGAGAATGGTCGGGGTCACAGGCCAGGTTCAGCAGGTAGCGGGCAGCGTGGTACAGAGGGTCAGGCAGAGGAGAATGGTCAGACAAGCCAGGGATCAGAGCAGGGTCAGCAGAGAATCAGACAGGAACAGGGAACAGGGAGCAGGAACAGGATACAGGCCCAGGAGAAACACAACACCAAGGCCGAGTCTGCAGGTCTGAATGTCCCTTAAATACACCAGTATAATTAGTTCCAGGTGTTTGACTGGCTGCAAGGTTGAGTCTCTGATTGCTGGGAGCACCCGCTGGCCAGCCTTGGTACTGCAGCTCATAAGGCAGCTGAGTCCCACTATTGCTGGCCAGTCCATTCCTGACAGTACCCCCCCCCCTCAAGGAGCGGCCTCAGGACGCTCCAAACAGTCCTAGCTGGGCAAAATGTTCCACCGCCCGGGTCTGGTAACTGGCTGGTTATCAAAGACTGGCACACCGGGCAGGACTCCGGGCAGCGGCACACCGGGCAGAGGCACATCGGGCAGGACTCCGGGCAGAGGCACATCGGGCTGGACTCCGGGCAGAGGCACATCGGGCTGGACTCCGGGCAGAGGCACATCGGGCTGGACTCTGGGCAGAGGCACATCGGATTACCAGGCGAAGCAGCAGACACCGGGCCACCGAGTGGAGCAGCAGGCACCGGGCCACCAGGTGGAGCAGCAGGCAGCAGACCACCGGGCGGAGCAGCAGGCAGCGGACCACCGGGCAGAGCGGCGGGCGCCGGGCCCCCAAGCGGAGCGGCGGGCGCCGGGCCCCCAGGAGGGGCAACAGGCATCGGGCCCCCAGGCGGGGGTGACAGGCATCGGGCCCCCAAGTGGAGCGGTGGGCGCCGGGCCCCCAGGAGGGGCGACGGGCATCGGGCCCCCAAGCGGAGCGGCGGGCACCTGGCCCCCAGGAGGGGCGACAGGCATCGGCCCCCCAGGCGGGGCGACAGGCATCGGGCCCCCAGGCGGGGCGACAGGCATCGGGCCCCCAGGCGGGGCAACAGGCATCGGGCCTCCCAGCGGGGCGACAGGCATCAGGCCCCCAAGCGGAGCGGCAGGCCCCCAGGAGGGGGCGACGGGCATCGGGCCCCCAAGCGGGGCGACGGGCATCGGCCCCCCAGGCGGGGCGACGGGCATCGGCCCCCCAGGCGGGGCGACGGGCATCGGCCCCCCCAGGCGGGGGGCGACGGGCATCGGACCCCCGGCGGGGCGACAGGTCTCAGGCCCCCAGGCGGAGCGACAGGTCTCAGGCCCCCAGGCGGAGCGACAGGCGCCGGACCCCCAGGTGGAGCGGCGGGCGCCGGACCCCCAGGCGGAGCGACAGGTCTCGGGCCCCCAGGCGGAGCGGCGGGCACCGAGTCACCAGGCACGACAGTGGGCTCCGAGTCAACTGGCAAGACTGCGGGCACCGAGTCAACTGGCGGAACAGCGGGCTTCGAGTCGTCTGGCAAGACTGCGGGCACCGAGTCGTCTGGCAAGACTGCGGGCACCGAGTCGTCTGGCAAGACTGCGGGCACCGAGTCAACTGGCGGAACAGCGGGCTTCGAGTCGTCTGGCAAGACTGCGGGCACCGAGTCATCTGGCAAGACTGCGGGCACCGAGTCATCTGGCAAGACTGCGGGCACCGAGTCGTCTGGCAAGACTGCGGGCACCGAGTCGTCTGGCAAGACTGCGGGCACCGAGTCATCTGGCAAGACTGCGGGCACCGAATCACCAGGCACGACAGTGGGCTCTGACTCAATTGGCACGACAGCGGGCACCGGGTCATCAGGTACCGGATTGTCTGGCTCGACAGCGGGCATTGGGTCACCAGGTATGACAGCGGGCACTGGGTCACCAGGCATCAGGTCATTTGGCTCGCCAGCGGGCACCGCGTCATCTGGCAAGGCAGTGGGCACCGAGTCACCAGGTACGACAGCGGGCTCTGAGTCAATTGGCACGACAGCGGGCACCGGATCAGGTACCGGATCATCTTGATCAACAGCGGGCTTCGAGTCAACTGGCCTAAAAGGATCGTCAGCTGGATCAGTTCATCATGCTGAGTAGCGGCATCAGCTGAATGCAGGCATCCGGCTGAGTAAAGGCATCAGGCTGAGTAGAGGCTTCAGGCTGAGTAGAGGCTTCAGGCTGAGTAGAGGCTTCAGGCTGAAGAGAGGCATCAGGCTGAAGAGAGGCATCAGGCTGAGTAGAGGATTCAGGCTGAGTAGAGGATTCAGGCTGAGTAGAGGATTCAGGCTGAACCACGGAAGGCAGGTTCACCGGTTTGGATACTTGCAGGATGGTATTGGTTGGAAAGAATTTTCGCTTTTTTCTGGTTTTAACTACTGGAGCACTGCAAGTAAACGCAGGTCTGCAAACGAATGGAGCAGCTGGAGACAGAGAAGAACTGGAGGATGGAACAGGAGAGGGAGCAGTTGCTACAGAGGGCTTTTTTACAGGGTTAAAGGCAGGATAGGTGCAGCGAGTGGGAACAGGGTACTGACATGCGGTAGATAGCAGGGCAGGAGGAGCTGTTGGGAATGCAGGAATAGAGTTTTGAGGAGATAGATTAGAAGCAGGACTGGGTTTTTGTAAGCTGACTGAGGCTGGGTGCAACAAATCTGTCCATGTCTGTAGTATGGGTTGAACAAAGCTGAGCTTACACAAAGCCTGTCTGACCAAAGACTGCACTGCGTTTATACAATCTCTTAGTATCTGTGGTGAACATGCAGCATAATGCTCCAAGAAGCAATCCACATCATCCTCTAATAACCACACCAGGGACTCTACCTGGTCTGCACTAAATGGTGGCAAAAATTCATCCCTGCATTCGGGGGTACCAGATGAAGCCAACTCAGCACAAACCTCAATCAATGGCTGCACCTCAGAGAACTCTATGCCCTGATCTACTAGAACATGAGCGAGCCGTATACATTCTAGCAGTTCATCCCGGGTATAATCCTTCAGAGTTTGATAAGCATACTCCCTGTCATCAAACACTAGCAGATATAAATACACAACCTCATCAAGATCCATCCTTCCCAGCAACAAGCCAAGATGGCTTCCCTGTGCAGCCACTTCTGGTCAGGATTGGCCTTGGTGTAATGTGTCAGGGCTCCCGGGTATGACCAGAGGTGTGTGACTGACGCAGGGAAACGCAGACTTCAGATATATTATAAACAATGTAATTTATTAACACTAACAATACAAACATAAACGCAGTGCAATACTAAAACATAACACAGTGCAAACAAACCAACCAACCACCCACAGATAACAGTACATATAATGCAAGCGTCGTCAGGCAGGCCGGGTCAATATCAATCGGGCAGGTAGGTAAAGGGGGAGCAAGCGGAGAATGGTCGGGGTCACAGGCCAGGTTCAGCAGGTAGCGGGCAGCGTGGTACAGAGGGTCAGGCAGAGGAGAATGGTCAGACAAGCCAGGGATCAGAGCAGGGTCAGCAGAGAATCAGACAGGAACAGGGAACAGGGAGCAGGAACAGGGAACAGGGAGCAGGAACAGGATACAGGCCCAGGAGAAACACAACACCAAGGCCGAGTCTGCAGGTCTGAATGTCCCTAAATACACCAGTATAATTAGTTCCAGGTGTTTGACTGGCTGCAAGGTTGAGTCTCTGATTGCTGGGAGCACCCGCTGGCCAGCCCTGGTACTGCAGCTCATAAGGCAGCTGAGTCCCACTATTGCTGGCCAGTCCATTCCTGACAACTGGATTTGTTTTGACTTTTAGATACAAAATAATGTTGTTATAGTTCTTGCTAACTATTGTGCTTTTTTAAAACCAACATAAATTGACGCCAAAGTATGTTAATGTGCTCTGAAAAGGTGGATAATAATCCAGGAAATGGCCAAGAAAGCTCAAATTCCTGTAGATGCATGGATCTTGAAGTATTAGCTATACGTATGTAATGTGAAATGTACTGTATTCATACAAACGCTGTATATATGCAGTGTGAAATCTATCATTTCTCAGAGATATTTGAAATGTTGTTCCCACATGTAGCTTTAGCTTTTAATTTGTTTTAATGGAGCTAAATACAATTTTTACATGATATATATATTTCTTATTTACAGATTTGTACATATAACACAGTTAAAGCATCATTTAAAATGTTTTCCATTTTAAAAAGAATAAATGATGGGCTTATAATTAACTGCACTTTCCTACAAAGATTATTTTGATATCAACATTTTGATATCAACATTTTTTTCTACATGAAGCTCAAACAGCACAAAATGTAAAGTTAAGGATAGAGAAGTTTTAATTCATTGGGGTTGCTTTACTGAATGCTAATAGGCTGTTCACTTTTTCAGTGAATGTGGTAAAAATTCAGTTAAGAAATATCCAGTAATGTGCATGGGAAAAACTGTATTTTTGCTTGGACATGATTGGATGATGGAAGTCATCAGATTTGCACCTCATTGGCTAAGCTAAAGGAAAATGATCTTTCAAAGTGAACAGTCAATGGGGAAACAGGTAAATTGGACTTATAGATCTGATGATTCTAGGGCAATGGAAGCGTCATATCCGCTGTAATTACTCCTTAAGTAGATGAGTGCCAAAAATAAAGTTTCCACTCAAGACTATAATCAGTAGTGCAACAAACATACAGTAGATGTATTAGATAAGATGAACTGGAATAACATTTAATGGAAAATAGTATATCTGAAAATGTACAGAATCAGATAAATATACACTCACCAGACACTTTATTAGGTAGACCTGTTCAATTGCTTGGTAATACAAATTGCTAATCAGTCAATCACACGGCAGCAACTCAATGAATTTAGGCATCTAGACATTGTGAAGATGACTTCCTGAAGTTCAAACCGAAGAATGAGGAAGAAAGGGGATTTAAGTGACTTTGAAAGAGGCATGGTTGTTGGTGCCAGGCAGGCTGGCCTGAATATTTCAAAAAAACTGCTGATCTACTGGGATTTTCACGCACAACCATCTCTAGGGTTTACAGAGAATGGTCCAAAAAAGAGAAAATATCCAGTGAGAAGCAGTTGTGCGGACAAAAATGCCTTGTCCATGTCAGAGGTCAGAGGAGAATGGACAAAGTGGCTGCTGCGACATTCAGATGGTAAGATCATAATTTGGCATAAACAACATGAAGTCATGGATCCATCCTGCCTTTTGTCAATGGTTCAGGCTGCTGCTGGTGGTGCAGTGAAGTGGGGGATATTTTTCTTGGCACTAGCAAGGTGTACCAAATAAAGTGGCCAATGAATATGCTTTTCAATAATTGTTATTATCATTAGTGCCCTGATTATCAGTATAGGTGTCCCATTTCACACTTGCTGCTTAATTGCTCTCCTCTCCTCACACTGTGACAGTATGAGGAAAGTACTGCCGATAACTGGAAACTGTGTTTACATTGTGAATAGCTGGATGCAGCTTATCACATGGTAAAGGGCCACTGTGATTAGCCAAAGGGCACAGTGATCACAAAGAGCATTGGGTGCACGCCACACTGCAGTGGGCGCGTTGGAGTCAGGGTTCTGGGAGGATTTCAACAGACACCCTCCCAGAACTGGACAGCCGCACTGTAGCTGTCATTTGTCTATAACGTAGTCAGCAAGTAGTTAAATGATGATAGTGTTCCCATGTTTTTATATTTTTTAAAATGCTCTTTTCTTATTATTTATAGCTATTTAAACTTTGGATTTGAGACACATAAGCTCTATTGTTAGCCTTTTAAACTTATTGCTATGAGAATGTATTTTGCAGTGTATTTGCATATAGTTGATTTGAAGCATTCCAATTTCTGTTCTGTGTAATGAAAACGTTCCTTCCCAGTCTTGGAGAACAGCCCAATGCCTCTGCATTGTAACCTTTTGTGGTGTCACCTGGCCAGAGTCTGACAGCATACTACAGAACATCTTTAGAATGTTGGACCTACAAGCAGAGCTCTCTATTGTGCCTCTGTTAACCTTTACTTTCATTACTACATCAATATCTGTAACTTACAGGTACCATATGAAAGGGTTAAGAGTTAACTAACCTTTGCTTTGTGCCTACTAACTGGTTTATTTTACATACAAGATGTTCCCATAGAATTTGAATGCTGTTATGCATGCAAGCATTTCTTGTTTTGAGAATTTGCAGAAGTTACTACCCTGTTGCATTTTTGTTATAGCGCACCATATAGTGGTTTTTACTCAAATCTTTATTCTGTATTCTGATTGGTGCTTCATAGAAACCGCCTGAAATATGCAGTGTTATCATTTATTACTACTATCATTTATTATCAATAATAAAGAAGTCAAATTTTGCATCACACATGCAGGTTCCTGCATTGCATTATTCCCAAAGTACTTTGAACTGGATGTTTGTATGGAGGAGGCCGACATAAATTGGTATTCCTAATACCATTGGTATCACTAACCCAATGTTTCATGATATTACTCTCATTATTTTATCAGTGTAACTAATTGTTTATGATATGATAACAAGGGATGACCTTAAGGTTTGGATCAAGCATTTGCCTGTTCAGCAGGAACAGCACATCATGAATAATAGTGGTGAGCATGACACAATGTTCATGTTAACGTATTGTTTATAATGTAACTGGGATCCTGTGGGTTTTTTTTAAAATTAAGTACTGTCATGAATAATGTCTGTCTTTATTTTTACTTTACATAGTAGATTACTATGTAACCTTAACTCATTCACATAGGATGGAGTAGATTATGATTATCCCCACCTTGTCCTTGTAAACATAGGGTCAGGGTGCTTTGTCAGGGGCTTCCCCCTAGCAACATACCCTCATTGCTGAGGGCATGTGGTGTGGTATGGTTCAGGGGAGGGAGAGTGCATATTTGCTCTTCCTTTCTAGGCCTTTACTGGTCTTGGGTAAGAGTCTGATATGGATGCTGATTTTTTTTTTTTTGCATGGGGAAATTTCTCATGGAGAAAGCAACAGAAAAGAAAACATTATTGTATTTCAGTAGGAGACTGAATATAGAAAATGTAACAGATTTGCACCACAAATATTCAT